TATTTGACAAAAATCGTGCAAAATATGAATATGTTTGAGGCCAGTTGGCGTCTGCTGCTATTTCTCTCATTCACAAGAAACTCGCGCTTTGCTCTTCTTCTTAAGCATTCAATATTCTCTGTCTCATTCACAATTTCTTGTGGCTGTACACAGATATTGATCAGCTGGTTTGCTTTTTCCATTAACAGCAATGAGGCCATGTTAACATTTTGCTCAAATGTTATTAACAGCAAGAACTAATAATTTACTCGAAAAGAGACGTTACACGTATTTTTGACTTTCTTATCAATTTTGTAAAAGTAATTTGAGAGTGCATTTTAATTAAAGGCAATTCAAAAAAATTAAAGTTATTGTTGCAAATTATAGTGTGAAATGAGCAAAAATTCTTTTAAATGGAAACGTCTAAGCAAAAAATGGCCGTTAAAATTAAAAATTGTTTTCACAAACCTTAGAGTAAATTTAAATAGAAACTCTAAATATAAGGTTTAACATATTGCAAATTGCAAAGTTCCTTTCATAATGTGATAGAAAAAAGTATTGTAACTAGTTTTAACTATTCAGATGTTTTTTTTTAAACAATTTTTACTGATTGATTTGAAATTTATTTGAAAACTTAAGAAAAATTTATATAATTAAAAATTAAAGCGTGCAGTGCCAGGCATCACGGAACTAATCATTACAAACATGTATATTTATATAGTATATATATAAATGTACAGGTAGAAATTCGTTTACAATTCAACTCACCCGCACCCACAAATACAAACACCTTTCGCACTAACAAATTCACCACGACGTCTGTTTACACTACAACTGAAAATATTTCGAATTGTGTTTGGTGTTTAGCGCCCAATGAGTCAGTCGACTTTTGCACGTCGGTAGAGAAAATACAGCAAAGCATTTTCCATCGAGCGCCATAAAAAATTCTGTTTACGCTGCTACGAAAACAAATTCAAACGCTACGAAATAGTTTTGTTGTTTGCTTTTTTATATATATACACTCGTTCTGGAATTTGTGGAATTTTTATATCTTGTGGCGCGCTAGATCGGGCAACGGACTCGTAAACATGCAAGAGTTAATTACCATTCCCAGTTTGCCAGCTAGCCTGGCAGCAGAAACACAAAAGAAACTTAGGAGCATTGTGGACGATATCAAGAGCATATCAGAAGCAGTTTTAGCTGATAATGTTTCAGAGGACAAGGATCACGTATGCCAAATGTGAGTCATCCACGCGTTCACTTACCTGTTCTGATAGTGTAAATTGTTTCGTGCCACTTAGTACTAAATTTAACCCCTGCCATATGCATTTAATATTACATTTCAGCGCAAGCTCTACCCATGTCAGGGTCGCGCTTATGTCATTGCACCCCCAAGCTCTCTTCTCTCTTTTTTTAATGACTTGGCAGCACTTTTTTGTAGGTGGGCTTGTTATGGCATATAATTTATACGTTATATATGTAGACTTGTACCAGGTTTGGGCAAGCGTGACTAAATAACATTTTTGGCTTTGCGTTTTTTTTTCCCTTTGTATTTACCGTGGGCAACGTTTTAAAGCGCTTTATATATCAATTAATTATATTCAATTTTTGTGTATATTAGTTTTAAATCTAAAAATCGAATAATCTAAAAAAATTCGAATTGAAAGAGAAATAGCTTATTCATTATTCAGTTGGCTTCACACAGAATAGAGCTTTATTAATTTGAATAATGATGAATTAAAAAAAACTGCATAGACTTCTAATAAGCATTAATGGATTAATGTGTGTGCATTGTGTGTTACCAAACATATGGCAAAGTTTTCCGAATTGTGCCAAATGCACACATTTTTATTTCGATACTCTGTGCCAAATTCCATGCCAAATACCTTTACAAGTTGGGCCCTATCTATGTGAAATACATTTAGATGTAAGCGCTTGACTCGATGGCGCATTCTGATAGATCTCATGTGAAGATATCAGACAAATAATTCTTGAATCTGCAAATATTGAATATGCTAGTTAGATTGATAGATAGATTCTGTTTATCTAAATCCCCACTAAATATATATATTGTCCAAACAATCTAGTCTATTATATATTTTATTAATTTTATTTTATTAAAATTTGCTGATGAAGACGGAAAATTAATCTCAGAACAAGTAGAGAAGCTGCCAAAAGTGGCAGATAAAAATAATAATTTCTTTCAATATGCATAGCTAGCGACAAATACTTGAAAAAATCTTTTTTAAAAAGTGTATAAAATTCTTTGCTTTTTATTTTGCATAGTTCTTGGCGTTTATTATTGACAGCCCTGACTCTGACAATTGAATTCAAGGACAAAATAATTGCTCAAATAAGATAAAAACATTATTCATTTTGCGGCAGACGAAGGTCTGACTTTTCTGTCTGTTGCCTGTCAAATTCGCCAAAAACACAACAAAAAATTGGCAACAAGAATCGGCAATATTTTTTAACCTTCAAGTTGCATAGCCGAAATGCCTATATGCTTTTATGGTATGTGCACATTATATAGATATCCGCATAGTAAAAAAAAAAATATGTATATTATAATGTCAGGTATAGACATACGACAAACAGGCTTTGTGCACTTCGTGCTACATATTTAAATTCCTAGTATGCATTTCAATAATAAATTAAGCTACCCGAGGAAGTGGGACGCAATAATGCCACAAGGTTTCTTATAACATTAACCCATTTCCCTTTGTCGTCACATGATTCTATATGCAGTATTATAGAGTGTCAACAACACACCGAGAATCGGTATAAACGACTTTAGCCCGCAAAAGAATAACATAAATTTTCATTTAATTATAGAAAATAACACAAATTGTTATTGTTTTTCTGCATTTGTTTGGTACCAATAAACATATTGTGTCGCGATGCGGGGAATATAAGTATATATATATGTACTTTTCACACGGCAAAAAAAACATATATGTATATACAGAATATTCTTGTAGATCTTTATACGAATATATTTGTGTGTGTGTTTATATATGTATATGCATAATTTTGACGACGGCATTTGTGTGCGGTCAAAGTGAAAGTGTCCGATGATTAATGTTGGCAAAGTTCCAGCGGAATTTGTGATTATTATTTAATGACGACGAAATGTCGCCAGGCAAATCGCAAATATCCATTGAAACTAAAAATAAATTGGTTTGATGTTGTATTTTACATTAACATTCCGCAGCTGAGCTTCTTCTGGTGTGAATGAATCTGTCAACCGAATTGTCAGCACTTAGACCAAAGCGAATTGGCCAAGTTAATGGCACGTGGTCGAACGAAACCAAAACTATTTTATGCATTCCTATAACTGAACCCTTATATTTTATTAAAAAAATTGCTCAGATTTTGTCTATATTAATGAAGTTTTTAGCAGAGTAAATATTTTAGCGGAGCTCGAAGTTCGAACTTTTTAAAAAGAAACTTATCTTTGTTTTAAAAAGGGTTCGAACTTTTATCTTAAATGAGACAATAGCTAATCATATTTTGTTTATATCACAAAAAAACTTACAAGGATTTAAAACTTTATAAAATAAACTCAGCTTTGTTTTAAACAGGGTTCGAACTCTGAGGTTTTAAAAAAGGAATTTAAGCTGAGGATTTAGCAATAGCTGATTATTTATAGCAACAAAAGCTTACATATTTTTCGAACTTCGAAGTTTTTACGAGATACTCATCTTTTTTTAAACATAAAACCTGTTTAGGATTTAATCCTCATTTATTTTGTCAGATTTAGTCTATATCACAACGATTATACAGGGCTCGAACCTCGTAGTTTAAAAAAGGAACTCGCCTCTGATTTGAACTGACAAATATTTCTGTTTTTTTTTTTTAAAGATTTTTATAGTAAAATAAAAGATAAAGCCTTTAGTTAAATTTCATTTTTTACGTATTTACTTTTAAACTTGTAATTGTGTTTTAAATTATACCTGCTTTTATATCAACATGCTTTAAAGAAATTGCAATTATATTTTCCTATCGCACACCTTTATAAATCCACTTCTATTTTTATATTGCGCATTATCAAAATTAGCCAACTAAGTATAAACAAATATTTATAAATATATAGCTGGTATGTATAGATATGGACATATGTTTTATGTATCCAAATGTTTATTATTTTGTAGTATTCGGTATTCGACGTAGGTGCTAAAAAAACAATGACGTACATACATAGATCGCCAAAAGAAATACGCGCTGTATTATAAACAAAAACAAAAACAAAAAGTTGAAAGAGACGTTAATGCCCATTCATAAAAGCTTGACATGGCTGAAATTTGTATTTAAAGACTTTTTACCATAACTCTATCTTATTTACAATATACTTTTTAATTTACGTCTTAAATTTGCTAAAATTTTGTTATTTTTTATTGTTTTTTATTTTTCCGACGTCTAAAAATATTGAAAATATTTTTTTTATTTGACAGTTTGTTTACCATGCATAATATTTGAGCTTTAAATACTGAACAATTAGTCGCTATACATAATAAAGGGGTAAAAATGTTAGGATATACTTAGTATATTTGGGTGACTAATTGTTAAATATGTTTTTGGTGTGGATTTTTATAAGAGTGTTGACAGGAATAGAGCATAATACATAGTTGGACCTCATTAACCTTATGTTGTGCGTAAAAATGTATACGGCTGGCAATATTCTTAGCAGCGCCAGATTTATAATTAAGTATGTTCATTAAATTTTAAAAAATATACAATAAAAACTAATAAATAGATATTTTAGCCAAGGCCTAAACCGAAACCTTAGTTTATGTATGTTGAGAACCAGGTTCACGAACCGAACCGGATGGCAGAAAGTCGGTTTAAATTGTAAGCCAATCCACCAACCATTTTGTTTAGGCCTGCAGCCCTGGATAACGATATTATATCAAGGGGAACTATAGGTAAAAAATTAAGTTATTTTAAACATATTCAGACAAAATTTAGCTCGAAAACTTTCTATTTGAATGATTTGTAAAAATGCAACATTGTTGTTTGGGTATATACATACATACATGGGTATTTTAATAAGGTATATACATCGTAATTAAGTATTATGATATTTTCCATAAATAACTAATTATTGAAAACGAAGCAAACTAGATAAATATATAATAACTTGTTCACTTTGCTGCCATTTCAGTCAAATAAAATCGGATAATCACACGCCCTATCCAGGCATCTCACGGCTGACGCCTTCTCTCTACCTGTGCGGCGCTGCGGCTGTGGTGCCCGCGCATCTGGACAAGCTGGGCGTGAGCTGTGTTGTGAATGTGGCGCCCGAGCTGCCGGACACACCGCTGTCCAGTGTCAGTAATCCATTGTATCTGCGCATCAATGCACAGGATCGGGCCGGAGTTAATTTGGCTGCCCATTTCGATGAGGTGGCCGATTTGATTGAGGAAGTGCGTCTCAGTGGCGGCAGCTCCCTGGTGCACTGCGTGGCCGGCGTCAGTCGATCCGCCTCCCTATGCTTAGCCTATTTAATGAAATACGGCGGTATGAGTCTCCGGGAAGCCTATACACACGTGCAATCCATACGGCCACAAGTTCGACCCAATTCCGGATTCTTTCAGCAGCTGCGCCAATACGAGCAGGAATTGCGTGGCAGCTGTTCGGTTGAAATGATTTACTTTGCCTCATTGGACAAGGAAATTCCCGATATCCTGGAGCCGGAATACAGAGCCATGGAGGATTTCTATCAACGATATCGCAGCTCGCTAAAGAAACGTTAAGCTAAGATTTAAAAATCCCCGCTCCCTCTTTAATGTTTTTTGTGATATGTGTAATAGTTTTTTTTTTGTAAATAATTTACTCTTAGATATTTTAGTTGTAGAAACTAACTATTTGTATGTAATAACTAATAAGTGTGCTGATAAATATACGAATATGCTGAATATATGATAGAAATACTAAGGCTTTAATTACCTATTTTTAGATCTCAATATATATTAATATAGTGGAACAAGATTTTTTAAACAAAATTAAAATCTAGGTTCGATTTAAAACTGGACTTCCAATTTTTGTTCTGCTATGAACCAAACCAGTTAGCAAAAGAGAACTGAATCAAATTATTTCAAACAAATATTTTGTTAATTTATTAAATTGAGCCCAGGAACCATTCCCAAAGCTTTAACTTATTAATTTTATAGACACATTTAGTAGCCAATATTGGGTAGCATTGTATATTAAAATATATTCCGATATTTTGAGTAGATGGGACAGCTTAAGCTTAAAAATAATTTGATGAGAATTATGTAGAACATAATTTGCATTCTGATTAAAAAAATAAGATAACAATTCCATTTCAATTTTCTAAAAATGTAACGAACCAGGACTCAAATCATATCCTGGTTACCAGGTTCTTAACGTCATATGACCCGATTATAGCCCTTATTCTCCTAATCTCAAACCCCAAAATAATAAAAAAAAGCCAAAATACATTGAATAAATTTATTAATTTCGTAAACATCACGCAAGTAGTTATAGTATACAATAACAACATAATTAATTCAATCGTACACATAATATGTATTGTATATACAGATTGTTTAACAATAATTGTGTTTTGTTTTGTTTTATTTTTGTGTGTTTTAGGTTCTTTAAATGCTCACTTTTATTGTACTCACGCCAAGCCAGACATTATTGGCATTTGCATTGCGATCTCGTTGGTTTTCAAAACCGACTTTTATTGGTTCTTAAACAAATTAAGAAAAGTTCAGTTTTTACAGTCTATATGCACTTACCAAAAGAAATACATTTATGTATGGCTATGATATACAAAATCTATTTGTGTTTTTTGTTTTTTTTTTTTGCTTCAGCTTTTATGTTTCGTTTGGGAACATGCAATGAGTGCCTAAAAAACGTGGCACTCACAACGAAAAACCACTAGAATATGACTTAAAACGTAAAATTTGCTACTTGTGTATACATTAAGCTTATTCAGTTATAAGTTTTATAGTTTTAGTTTAGTTTAGCTTACGTAATACGTAATACATAGCACATGTTTAACGTAAGCCCCCGTATCGTCGCTACGTTCTGTTCTACTTGCCTTTCGACAATGGCATCGTCTGCACCTGCGTCGTCAGCTCCCGCTGCCGGATCAGCTTCTTGAGGTTCTCGTATGCCGTATTCATAATGCCCCAGCTGATGAAGGAGCGACCCGTGTTGAATGCACAACCGCGATAGAAGTTCCCAATACGGCTGTCCCGTTCGCGGTAGATTCTCTTGCAGGCTTGCCAGCTTCCCTCCGTTACCTGACCCATGTCGCTCTGTAGCGACACCTTAATCACATTTAGCGGATAAAACAATGTGCTGATGCTGGCTCCAATTACCGCACCGGCAATAAATTCTTGTGCAGTTCTGCTCGACACCGATTTCTGCAATACAACAAATAAAATCGTTTAATTTAAGCGCTCTGGCAATATATATCGGGGCTGCAAATCGGTTTTCCGCGGCGGTTCGAGTCTAGAATTGCTATATTTCCTATTTAGTGTGAAATTAAATCAACTAGCTTGAATTAACTGAAATGTATTTTTTTAGAAAACCGTTTTGTTTAAACGAAAAATATTGGAACCAAGGCTGCAAGCCCATTTTGAACCGAATATTTTTCTATTAATAACGGATCCCTTTCAAATTAAGTTATCCAAGATTGTCGAATCGAAACTCAAAGCAAATTATTATGAAAAATAATATGGTTTGGTTCAAAACAAAATACGTTTGACGAAAAACCTGGATTCAAAAATATGGAAAGATTGCTTCAACATTAGAAACGGAAGGGAGTTGGTTTGGATCGTAGGCCAAACAATGCCCAGCCTTAAACTATCCAAAAAGAGTGAGACGGTTAAGAGCTCGGAGCTTAATTTCCAGCCATTTATCTTAAATTTGCAGCCATGATATATGGTATAGAGTCTTCAAATACTTGCCCTCTTTGGTAAACGAACACTGGCCTCTTCGCGCAGCATGAAAAACAATGCATTCGACAGACCGTTGCGCCAAAATACTGGTTCAATGCCCCTGTATAGCTCCCGAAAACCATAATTGGTGACTACATATCTGAAAAAGTGCAACAGTTAGATTGGCAGTCAGCAGGCTCAACACAATTCGTAGGTGTTTTACCTAAACGCATTCTGCGTATTGGAGAAATATTGATGGAACTTCGAGTCGGCCAACAGCGTCTGAACACGTTCGAAGGGCAGTAAAATGGACTCCACGCTGCCAGCCACAACGCCGGCAATCACCTTGGCGCCATAATCATTTAGGCGATAATCTTCGACAAGATATCGGCGCGTGCCATCAAACACACCGAACATTATAGACAGGGAGATCGTTTTTTGTGCCAATGGCGGCAACATGCCGCGATATAGAAACCCAAGACCCTCATGGCGTAGCTGCAACAAGGCGGAGTCAATTGGCACACCATGCAGCATTTGTCGAAAGATAATTTTGTATATGGGATATGTGACGCATATGTTGACAAAGGCCGAGCCACAACCGCATGCAAACTCCTCCCACTGGAAAGCGCCAAAGAAGCGGTCCAGAAAGATATTCGCATGGCTGGCCCTGACAAATGTTGTTGTTGCCGCTGTTACTGTTGTTGTTGTTCCTGCTGTTGCTGGTGTTGTTGTTGCTGCTGCGGCTGTTGCTGCTGGGGCTGTTGCTGCCGCCACTGTCACCGGCTGCGCCGTTTTGGTTATGCTCTCGTCCGTATTTAGAATGACATCGACTTTCATTTTGCTGCAGTTGTTGCCGTTCGTGTTGCATGCGTCGTGTGCGCATATGCTACCTTGTTACCATTGTTTATTTAGTTGCATACACTTCTTGTTTGCTTGCTATTTGTTTTGGTCCTTACATTCACATTGAATTCGCCCAATTATATAATGAATTATGTTATATTACAGCGAGCGTCCAGTGTGGTCGAGAGTCTAGCATAGTTATATTGATGTCATCATCGTTGACATGCCGTACTGATAAGTGAGGCTAACAGTTTAGGCTGCAATGCCTAATTATAATAATTTATTATATACTTCTTAATCTTGTATATTTAGAAATAGATTGCGGACACATATGAGCTCGCAGACAATGCGACAACACTGTTTCCACTTATGTTGAACTTGCATTTACATTTTAATCGATAGCTCGACAAAATTGACATATGTTAATGCCTTGATGGTTAAGACGACCGAGAACTATACGATTCTTTATCACAATCGTGTAGCTATGCATGTAAATATTATTTAAATCAAGTGTACGTAATTATTAATTTCGGACTATAATTTATAATTTAACGCATTTAATAGGCCTAAATTAAAATTGTTGAATATACTTTGTCTATAATGAAACTCAGTTTAATTTAAGTTTATAACGTATAAGCATACGCCTACGCTTTACGTTTCAAAGAGTGTTAAAGTATATGCAATTACTATTGAAAAATTCAATATTTAGAATAAAACATATTGATTTGTGCATGTCAAGCATGTATGATAAGTTGCAAATTCCAAGCGGAAATCTAAGTTGGCAGCTCTGGTCGCACTGTCAGCGCTGACAAATGCCAAGCGCGGCCAACTTCATGTCTTTTTTCTCTCTTTTTGACGTGCTCTTAGCATATTAGCGGTTCGTACATTTCCTAAAATCTATATTTTTATTAAACATCACCCTCAAATGTTGGCTTATTTTGAATAAAATCTATTACTGGATAACCCGAAATGTTAAAGACACCTAAATTACAATTGGACAATGTGTTGTCTTAGTGTTTACGCAAATCAAACTTTGTTGACATTCGCATATACAAAACAATAAAATCGTATGCTAATAAGGACTTTTTTAAATTACAGCACCAAAATGACCATTCGTCCAGCATACAGGCCCAAGATCATTAAGAAGCGCACCAAGCACTTCATCCGTCACCAGTCGGATCGATATGCCAAGCTGTCGGTAAGTTTCTATATGAAATAATCAGTGAAGGATTTAAATTATTAAGCGGTTTATATTCCATTTTAGCACAAATGGCGCAAGCCCAAGGGTATTGACAACAGAGTGCGTCGTCGCTTCAAGGGCCAATATCTGATGCCGAACATCGGTTACGGTTCCAACAAGCGCACCCGCCACATGCTGCCCACGGGCTTCAAGAAATTCCTCGTACACAATGTGCGCGAACTGGAGGTGCTGCTGATGCAGAACCGCGTCTACTGCGGCGAGATTGCCCACGGCGTCTCCTCGAAGAAACGCAAGGAGATTGTTGAGCGCGCCAAGCAGCTGTCCGTGCGTCTGACGAACCCCAACGGTCGTCTGCGTTCTCAGGAGAACGAATAAGCTTAAGTTTGGAATTCGCTTAAACGAGTTTTTTATAAACGTAGTCGGAATACAACAATTTGAAACGTTAAAAGTGAACACTTCTAAATATTGGTTCTCATTTGGGTTAAGCATGCAAAATTGGATATATAAATCAGACTGTAAACTGAAAAACTCAAAAAAAAAACAATGTGCCGAAGATGAAATACCCTTGCAGACATTAAGCAGATGTGCGGCATGTTTTAATAATTTGCAGTGTTTTTATCAAAAACAAATCCTCGAACCGATTATTCCTAATTGTTCTATGTTAGGAGTTTACCTATAAGTTAGGAGCATATAAAAGCTTACAACTGCTCAGTTTGGTTAAGGTAAGTTGGAAAACTTGTCCGATCCTGCACAGGTGTTTCCTTTAACAGGAATATAAATGTATGCCAAGTTTGATCCAGGTAAGCCTTGAGACTGATCTGAAGTCAGTTCTGGCAATTTGACTTCTTTCTAGCTAAGTATGGATATATATCAACTGGGCAGTTAATTTTGAGGCGAATAGGTTCTTTTATAATTCCCCTACGCAAATCTGAAGAAATTTTGGGTAGTTGGGTAGTCGCGATTCGAACCAACGTTCAGCCATTTAGTTCAGTTCATAAACCCCGTCTCATTTTATATTTTGTAAGTGTTATTATGAAAATAATAATAATAATAGTAGATCAGTAAATCTCAATGCTGCTGCTATTGTCAGATATCACATTTTGAATTTAAAATTTCCCGTTATATAAAAGTTGCGCGCAAATTCGATTGTTTCTCCCACCCGTTACAACACATGTTATTTTGTCAAACTTTATTTGAAATATGTTATATTTATACAAAGAAGCGTTTCATAAAAAAAGACTCATGCTAGACGTGTGAATAATTTATTCAAGTCTAAAAAAAACTAACATTTCGCACACTATATGCTTGAGTTTTTTTTTACTTAGATTTCCAATTGAAAGGTGTATATATAATATTAGGGAGTTTTAAATGCTATTTACTTTAATACGACATCATGATCAAATTGTAAATGATGCTCCAGTTCCTTCTTGTTCTCAAAATTCGTGCTGCAAATCAAACAAAAGCTGGCGGCATTGTCATCATTGTCGGACATAATAACTGTTACGGCCTGCTCGGATTCATCCACATCAACCTGTAGCTCCTCGACCACCTGATCATCAACTGGGACCTCTTCTCTAACGCCATAGACAACGTCCCCATCATGGGTTTTCATATGCATTTTGAGTGTATAACGCTCTGTGAACGATTTGGGACAGACGGTGCAATAGTGCCTGGGCCTGTTCTCCTTGTGGATGAGTGTATGATGATTGAAGGTTTTGCGCGACTTGAACGAGACATTGCATATACTGCATATAATAGGATTCTCTTCGGCCTCGTGCCGCAAGCGATGGTTGTATAAGAGATTGTCCTGGGAGAAGCGCAGACCGCACTTTTCGCATTGATATTTCTTCTTGTCCCAGTGCATGCGCATGTGCCGCAGCGTGTTGACAGGCCGTGAAAAGCTCTTGGGACAGTAACGGCACTGTTTCTCAGTTTTGCCCTCGTGGACATTCATGTGCAATTCGAGATACTCCTCGTCGCGTCGTATAATGCCGCAGATGGGACAAACGTGTGCCTGCGTCTTGTTGTGCTCCTCGCTGATGTGCTTTTGCAATTGATAGCGAGCATTGAAGATCTTGCCACAGGTGCTGCATTCCTGTTTGACTCGTTTTGGAATGAATTTGCCTTGATCATCGGCCTCATCCTCCATCTTAACGGACATACCATCTGATTTAACTTCGCAAAGAAATTCCTCCTCATCATCATCATCGTCATCGTACTCCTCTTTAATGTCCATATCCATATCATCCTCCTCTTTGACTAGCTCCTCGAACAAAGCTTCCGCTTCAGCATCTTCCTGTGCAGCTTTGTCCAGTTCCTCAACCAGCCCCTCGTCCTCGAATTCCGATTTGAGTGCCGCTTTCAATTGAGTTGTCAATTTCTTTTGAGTAACCATTAGATTTACCATTATGGTATCGTATTCCGCTAGCTCATTGAAACATCGCGGGCAAAGTTTTGTATTTGCACTCAATTTAACTTCGGTTTTCATACAGTTGGCGAGATGTGTTAGCACTAAGGAAACCGATTTGTGTGACGATGGCACCTTTGCCGTGAGCAATTCATAGTTTGCAGTGCCGTGTATGTCAACGGCACCGCAAAAGAAGCATGTATTCATGGTTTCTAATTGTTACCCTTTTTGGCAAATGTTTACAAAAAAAACGCCGTTTGGTTTTAGGGATGTAAGTATTTTAGGGATGGACCGATATGATAATATATACGCGAGTGCGTACACTTTTAGAGATTTCTTAAGTTTAATAATCAACCTTTTCAGATACCCAATTTTGCTTGTGCACAGCGTTGCAAAACAATCGATGTCGTTTCGATAGCTTGTCGCTGTCATTAGTATAGTTTTCTTGCCAACATTGTCTTTTACAATACTATTGCAGGGTTGCCAAGCCATTGCCATACAAATATTTTTTATTATATTTAAACAATAATAAAACAGTTGGCTTGCCTTATTATTTTTATTTGTCTGTTTATTTCGAAAATAACAAAGTATTATATACATTTTTAAGAAAACGACACATTAGCATTTTTTTTAGAGTTGACCCAGACATGAGCATTTTTCAAACATATTTTTATTTAAATCTTAAATAACACAAACGTACGTCAATATACATACATATCTTGCAGAATTTTTGTTTTAAGTAATACGCAAAATTTCCGTCAATTGAAAACTAATTAGATCACTTTCATGACTTAATGAATTTGATGAATTGGTCCTATTGCAGTTAGGAATTGTATGTCCAATTTCTGGATTAGCGAACGAATGCTGTCTCAATTTCGTCGATGTCGTTATGGACTTTTCATTGTTACTTATAGCTCTCTCATAGACGAGTTTATCACAGATATCGCGCAATTTCGCTAAAATCGAATATAAAATTTTTAAACGCTTTACAATTCGTTTTAGATCTACATGAACGGAAACTTCAAGTACAGCCTGACATTCGTGTAATATGGCGATAAAGTCCTGATGCAAGCGCTTGCCTTCCTCATCCGCTATCAATTCCTGATTATTGACCTTAAGCTGAAAATGCTGAAATATCACATTGCCCATTTGGGCAACTTGTAGTAAATAGCCCTTGGGGTGGAGTTTCTCAGCATTGTCAATACTCTCGGCTAATATATCCAAATAGTTATTAATCAGGGCTCGACTGTCAATTATTTCGTGAATTACATTACGAAAAACCATCAGCTCCTCCCTGAAGTGATGCTCCAAAATGTCCGCATGATTTGAAGCTGAGCTCGTTATTTGGAATTGAAATGCTGGCACAATACACGAGTCTAAAGATTCCAAAGAGGCCAAGCAACTTCTGATAAGAGTCTTAGTTTTAACATCTTGTGTAAATGCTATAGCAAATATGCCTATTTGTTGTATGCGATCGACATTAATATCGAAATCCGAGATAAGTTTATCCACTGCTCTTGAAGATTCGGAAGTTTGTAATATATTTCTTAGCCTTTTTATGGATGTTTTCTCCGTATCGAACATGCTGGTAAAGATCAGGTGCAATAGTCCCTCATTTAGGTAGGTTTCCAGGGAATAAAGAGCTCGTTGTAGAGACAAGGCTTCCAGTTTACGCTCGTTTGGATTGTGCGTCTTAAAGTTCCTTTCAAATATGCCACTTTCCTCCAAAACCGTTTCATAAATAGCAGTCAGCGCCTTTTTATCAGATTCCAGTGCGACATTTGCAAAGGCCAAGGCATGCTTTATAAGATGGTTCACCTGATCAACTAGTTGATTGTTCTCATCAGAGTGCAAGCTGTTTAGATCCTCCTCCTCGGATTGCGGCTGCGTGGGCACGATTTCGCTATATGTCTCCAGTTTATCCAGTGCCAAGTCGAGTAGCTCCACAAAGGACAAATCCTCCAGCTTTACAGGCGTGCTGGCTATGGCCTCTTCGGCTAGCTGATAAACCGATGCTTGAAGACGTCTCAAACACCAATCGATGCGATCTAGAAAATGGGTTCGTGTGACCAGGAGATGAGCTCCTGCTTCAAGTGTGCTCTCAATATTAATAGTACGTTCCAATTGTGTTATACATGTGATTACTTGGGTAAAGCACAGAAAAATCGTCTCCACGTGTATTTTGATGTTGCCCTCCAGTTCATTTTTGGGCGCCAATTCTGGCAAATAACTTTTAAATTTCGTCGCAAACGTGTGAAATGCAGCACAAAATTGATTCAACCAGGCAATGTTGGCTGTGTGGCATGTGGCACCTTTTGCAATTATTTCAGTGCACACATTTAATTTTAAATATAATTTGTCCATTTAAGATGAGTCGCGGCAGGGTGCAAAACTCAACTGAAGGTGCAAGTGAGTATTCCAGGCTATATAAATGCTCGCTGTCATCGGGCAGGTACGTTTTCGACACGCAGATGTCAGCTTTAAAAACATCTGCTATTTTATTACATAGATTTGGGCAAATATATCTCTATTTTACCTGTTTGACATATGGATTACGGATGGGTTTGTAGGACCATCCAGTGCAATTTTAATCCATCTACAGTGTAAGGTCTACTAACGGACAGCTCCCTTGGGCGGACATTTTTTAGATACCACTTTGTGTAAGAACAAACTAGTCGTAAAAACTATACAATTTACGTACTTAAAAGTTATATTAATAATGCACTTAAAAATTAAGTGGTCACAAAAAATCATAAAACAATCAACAATCGTAAAATTTTTTACCCAAAAGGGAAAAGATTGTAAGCATTAATTTTAATTTATGACTAATTAATTTATCACTTTAATTGTATTTAGGATTTCCGTTTATTTTCGTTCTTCCACGTCGCTAGGATGGGAAAAAGACCGTAGTTGTCTGCCCAAGAGAGCTCTTAATGTATTTAAAAATATATTCTCGCTCTTACTTTTTAAAAACAGAAATGTTCAAAGGAACGTTGTATTATAGGTATAAATAATATTAGGTAAAATAATTCTATATACAACTTATTTCTTAAGCAGCTTATGATAGAATATCTAGACAGCAGTACAGTCCAGATACTCAAGCAAACAGTCTTTAGAAACATTTCAAGTGCAGCATTTTTAATAACCTATATATATTTTTAAACCATACATATTAGCTTTCTAGCGTGCATGAGTTGATATAGACTATAAACTGTACATAATTAGGATGTTTGGTTGATTGTGTGACTTTCTGTTGCAGACTTTGTTGCCTCGACTGGCAAATGCACACGCTTGTGCACTTTTAACGTATATTTGTCCACAAAGGATTTCTCGCAGTCCGTGCATGGATAGCGCGGCCGATCTGTCTGATGGGTGCGCAGATGGTGTTTGTAGGTGCGTTTCGTTTTGAACTGCTGATGGCATACCTCACAGATGAGGGCGTGCTCCTCGGCATCGTGGCGCATCAGGTGATTGTACATTAGCCATGACAATGAGAAGCGTTCGCCGCATTTCTCGCACTGATATTTCTTTTTATCCCAATGCACCTCCATGTGGCGCAGAACGTTGCGCTTGTGCGAAAACTTTTTCGTACAGTAGCGGCACTCCAGCTCAGTTTTGCCCTCATGCAGGTTCATGTGGAGATCGAGGACTTCATCGTTTTTAACTTTAATGCCGCATATGTTGCAGGTAGCAAATTCGTTCTTTTGGCAGTTGTCCGTTTTAATGTGTCTTTCGAGGGAATCCTGATTTGCAAACAACTCGCCGCATATATGACATGGAATATCTAGATTATCTTCCCCATCCGAATCGTCCATGCTCTCTTCGCTCTCGCTAAATTGGCATTCTGCTTGTGGCTCTTCGCAAGACGCGTATTCTTCTGGTTCCTCTTTAACGACTTTCGACTCGTTTTCCGAGATTCTTGTCCGCATTTCGTGCAATTTTGGTTTTATGGCATCTTTTTTAGTCTGCAAAATCGCCGCTTTTCTTTTGCGGCAATTAAGCAACGAGTTTGCAATTTGACGCTGAACCTGACTTAGATTCCTAACAAGCCGGTCATAATTGAACAGATATTCGAGGCAATCATTACAAGCAGCCGATGTTGGTGTCAGATCCAAGCGTTGATTGATAACCTTTTCAAAGTATTTCAGTATGTCCTTTATGGGCTTAAATGTGCCAGGTACGATGCAGCCTAAAATAGCGTTGTTTATCATTTATTATTAGTTTTAAGCTGTTTAGTGTTTGCTTTCGACTTGCCTTCGATGAGCTGAAAGACGCCAACAGACTTCATCTTCCCACAAACGAAACAGAAGGGACGCGTTGTACTCATTTTGAACTATATTATACGAATCTATGAAGTAAGTTTCTCATACAATTATCGCCCTTAGCATATATATATTTTATACATACAACTATTTCGTGTTATTTATTAAGCGTGTTCGTTCTGCTGGTCAAAAACGGTGTTCACACAACTTTTCTCTTGTTCACGAATTCTGTACACACAGAAATGCTGTCAGCTGTTTTGTTCTTAACAGCGACAAGCAATTACATTAACATTTGCTGCCCTTTTGTTTATCAGCAGTATGCTGAAAAAAACTATCGATACCTGTATTCTAGTAAAATTGATTTTAAGTTAAGTAAGAATAGCAGGTATCAGCTGTAAGTTGTAACGAAAATATCAGAAATATAATCACAGGCATTGCTTACAACTATTTTCAAAATATCTGTGAATCCAAAATGAAACCTACAAAAATACTTAACTGTTTGCGAAAACATTTTCAAATGTTAATTGCGTTAAATGTCACTGTAAATTAAGTGTCGCCCGAAGTAATCACTTAAAAGTAGCAGTATCACATTATCTGTCATTTCTAGAGAAAATGCAGAGTGTGTTTAAGAACTTGCTAAAATCACCTGCTTTTCGTCCGAGCGGTAAGAGAAAAAAAGGAATAATTATTTATTGGCTATATTTACATTTAATAATATCATTTTGTCAAGCATTCCGATTTCTCAAAATGACCGAAAAGGATCTTCTGGCATTACCTTTGGTAGATGTAGACGGCAAAGGTATTTTTAAATATATTCTAATTAAGGTTATTGGCAAAGAGGATTGCACGGACAACAAAAAGAATATAGTTCGTGGATATGCCGATTGTGATTATCATTGTAAGCATTTTATAAACGTTTGCATTAGAATATATTTAATTGAATGGGTCAACTTTTATTTTAGCTGATATCTATGAGCGCGTAATGGAAGCTTGTAAAAAGACCGGCTTGGAAACTAAATGCCTTGGTGGTGGACGCATTGAGCACAACCCAGAGAAGAAGTATATGAAAGTCTACGGGTATTCACAGGTAATCATACTTTTTTAAGGAATACAAGTGAATACTTATACATATAATGTTGTTTATTTTTTTTATGATAGGGCTTTGGAAAAGCTGATCACTTGGAATCAAAGCGAATTCTGCAAACAAAGTATAAGGACTACGAAATCGAAACAACCGATGAAGGATACTAGTTTATGTTTATAATTATTTGAGCATATTTGAAGTTAATTTATAAATTAAAATTATATGTATTTCTTTCGAGCACAACCCAGCCTGTATTCAACATATTTTTATACCATTGCGTAGTATATTACGCGGCAGGCTGCACATAAACCAGAGTCGACCGCATCAGACAGCTAAATCAAATATTTGTCATATACCGCACATCTATGATATATCAAAGCTATATAATTTGAAACACCCCTGTCGATTCCATTTTATGATCGAAGCAACATGGGATAAGTTTGCAACGGACTGGACTCTCGGAAATTAAAAGTCAGTCGAGCTGTAGATTTTCTACACATCAGACATTTTAACAAATTCGTCTAAATTTTTTCAGTTACTTTTTGGCGTTAAAATTGTTTACCTGCTCAATAAAAATGAAGTTTTCAAAGCTCGCAATTCCATTCCGAACTTCAGGAAATCAGCTGCGTAAGTTATACATTTACATATGTGAACGTTCCGAGCTCCAATAAAATAATGAATATCCAGTAAGAAACTTTACAAATCAGAGGGCCGGGAAAGCACTCATCACTGTACCAAAAATTGAAATCGCAGATGGAAATATTCTTTATTTGCTGATGTCCATTTACATACACGGGGAAACGCTCTATTCGAGGACAATCGTGCGTGGACAGAATGCGAAAAATCATGGTTAGTTTGTTAGCCTTCTATAATAAATTTATCTAATCCATTTGGCATTATAGTTAGGGTATACGATCGTGTACGAAACGAAATGGAGAGTCTCGGACTATGTACTAAGGCGTTGGGCGGTGGCATGATGGACATCGATGAAGCGGCACGTACAATGAAAATTTACGGTAAATGCAAGGTAAGAGCAAAGTATTAATTAAAAAGCGATTTCGTAATACCTTATATGATTTTGTAGACCTTTGGAAGAGCAAATCATTATAAAACTAAGGAAATAATGAGAGAATCGCAAAATTACAAAGATTATAAAATTACTTTGGACCGATAATTTAATGAGGCTGAACTTGGAATAAAAATGAGAACAGAAGTACAAAATGTATTTATTTAGTATAGTATTTTCTTAAAATATTGCAATAAAATTAGTTGGTTTAAAATAGTAATTTCCTTGTAGCAAATGGATATATAAGAATCTGCATTGTTACTGGATGCACATGTATTGAAAAAAAAGTACTGACACACAGCAGTGGAAACACTAAAAAATACTTAAATATCGAGCACTTACAGAACTGGAAAAGAGTATTGGGCAATTATGTTTTTCGGCAGGCAGAATTGATGTCTTCATATTTTATAAAAAATATTTGACCTAAAAATGAATTGTTGCATTTGCCAGTTTTCTGTGCGCAACCCAAAGAACATACATGAGGAAACGATTGGAAAGCCACCCATATTAATCAGTGATTTGGTCCTGCAATGTACGAAGGGCACAAACTATGTGCTCGGCGAGGTGGGATCGACAATATGCAAAAAATGCTGCGAGAAATTGTCGCGCTATCATAAATCCTTACAAATCGCTCGAAAACTGCGCCAGGAAATAATAGAATTAATACGAAGTCCATTTATAATCAAGGACTTCAAGTCACGAAGTGAACTCAAGATCGAGGCCGCCGAAAAATTTGATGACAGCATCAGCGTCGAAATGGTCGAGACTGTGGATGCAGCTGATTTAGATGATGGATCAGACGCGGCGCCAGTCAAAGGAACAATTGTGGACCCAGCGGTAGTGGTGGAGGAAGAACATGTGTTCATAGAAAAGACTTCCGATTGCGATGAAGAGGAATTTCAAGCAGTTGACTTAGAGTTAGATATTGAAAATGAGATAATCATAAATGAAGAGGTTCCTGAAGCGGAGCTGGATGATGAAGCCAAGCAAACAACTGACGAGCTGGATATGTTCACAGAGGACAAGGATATGTTAAGTGAGTTTGAAGAGGATCAAATGGATGGCACAATCGAATACCTTATCTCAGATGCTGATGACCAGGACAGCTCTGGCGACTATACAGTTAACATTCAGTGTCCGAGCTGTCCGGAGCAGTTCAGCAGTCGTCGTTCATATAATGCGCACACAAAACGTGAGCATTTCCCTGGCTATGTGTGTGATCAGTGCGGCAAAACTTTACAATCCTACTCTGGCTTCATTGGCCACCTACAGAATCATGAGCCAGTCAAACAGTTCGAGTGCCCCCATTGTGGGGAGCGCTTCAGCCGTAAGTTTCGACTGAAACACCATATGGCATGGCACACGGGGGAAACGCCTTATCAATGTGAAGTCTGTTCGAAACGGTTTGTTCATAAGGTTGCGCTCTACAAGCACAAAATGATACACGACAGTGAATCTAAGCGCTTGGAGTGTCAGGTGTGTGGCTTTAAGACGCGCACGAAAGCCCATCTCGAGCGGCACACACGGTCGCACACAGGCGCCAAGCCATTCGCGTGTCCAGTATGCAATAAACGATTCTCCCAAATGTACAACATGAAGGCGCATCTCCGGGAGCACGAGAATCCTGGCAGCAATCGGCAACGACGCTTTCACTGCCCCAAATGCACCCATACGTTCATTAACGAACAGAACTACTTAAGTCATTGCCAGCAGGACGAATGCACGCCTGTCTAGCATATCGCCAGTTCGTCGCTTAAGCTTATCTAAAATGGTGTATATACATATAGTATGTGTTCGGAAATGACAATCCTCATATTATAATAATTGAATAAAAATTCGGTTTTAAATGTCAATTTTATGTACTTTGTATTTTTTTTATTAAATCTACATGCATTTTGCTCACAAATAAAATATGGTTTGTTTTTTTACTATGATAAATGTATGCATTAATTTCATATTTCTGCGGTCATGCTCAGTTTCTTAAAAAAATATTTATTGTATGGTTTTGTTATATTTTTGATAACTTATGAAAGTAGAACTAATCAATTAATGTGTTAAGCAATTATGCAACTATTGGAGCAATTAGCACTCATCGTTTGATAAATCAAAAGAAATTTGTGTCCAATGGTAAATATATATTTATGTATATAATATAGACGAAAGCACAATACATATGTATATTTATATATGTACACATGTGTGTGTGTATATATATATACATATAAATACATAAATTCAAATGTACATACATACTATATGTAGTATAATAGATTATACAAAAATAAAACAGATTATATTTTGATTTTTTGTCAAGTTGAATAGAACTTTGTTAATATCATCATATCATAAAATGCACATTATAAAAATATTAACAAAATTTATTGCAGGCAGTCCATAGTTAGTAAAAAGTAACAAACAAATCCGAATTCAGGAATACCCATAGAACTGTTTTCTTGCTTTGTTTTTTTTTTCTTTTGTTTAAATTTTGCAATCAATTCTTTTTTCTTTGTGTTGTGCTAAATAATCTCTATTGTGTGTGTGTGTGTGTTAAGAGCCACCAAATGGTACGCGGGATATATAAAGTGTTTAAATGAATTTCAGATCTTCGTTGAGTTTATATGGTAAAACATACAAAATACAATAAATACATATGTAAGTGTACGATTCGCGTTGTTCGACTTATAACAAATACATATACATCAATTTAAACATTTTATCGGTGTTAATTCATCATTCTTTATCATAGGCATATGTATATTTAAAAAAATACCTCCAGATGTTAAGGACGAAATTATGAAACACATTACTCCCCCTACCTACCATACCTACCACTAACCAAACTTCGATGCAGTCCCCCTCCCCGCCCCTTCCTCACGTACAATAGTTTGTGATGCTTGCAAAAGCCTATTGAATGTACAGTTAGTTCTATTTAAGTTTTGATTTCTGGGAATAGCTTCTCGAGTTGTATCTCTAAGATGTACCATACATATCGTACATACATACATCAATCATTATTTACCCCCCATTCATAATTTAGCTTAATAAAAAATCTACACTTAATGCTTAAGATTACTCGGATGGTTTGACAAGACCCATCGCTTTGTCTCCGAACAACGGCAGTATATCGGAGTCATTAACAATCTCTTCCTGAATCACTGGACTGTCTGGGTCTTCACAATGCGTCTTAAAAAAGAATCTACAAATGGCATAACAAAATTTAGTAAATTTTCGGATAATATGTGGAATACTACTTCTACTACACACATACCTAAAGTGACCCCTTCTAGGCAGAAAGTCCTTGAATTGGCGCAGGGTCGGCTGAGTACCGGGTATTTTGATTCTGTAAGGAACTGGCTCTTCGCAGAATGAAAACACCACAACTGTTTCCGGCGGCTTGATAGGCAGCGGCGGTGGACAAGCTACAGCCTGATGATGATGCATTGTGCTGCTGCCGCTGCTGCTACTGCTGAAGGTAGATAGGGGCTGTTGCTGTTGCTGCATGGCCACCATATGGGATTGTAGCTGCGGTTGGGCATATCGACGAGTGCGACGCGGCTCGTCTTCCAGTCTTCGTTTTGCTTCCTCCAATTTTGAGGCCGTGCTTGAACCAGAGCGGGAGCTGTATAAGATATTCAACATAAAATAAATCTATTTATTGCAATTAGCTGTTGGTAAATATACCTAGTATCTTTGTATTTCATGACAGTATCAGCTGAGAACATGCTGATGCCGCTGTCTGTGTTCATTGAAGGCCATTTATTTGTTAGCTTCCTAGAGCAGGAACTGGGATCGGGCATGGATTTTGAGTGCTTCATTGAGTGCCCACCTGTAGAATGCAAGAGATGGAAACAATTAGACAAAGTAGATTAATAAATTCAGATTGATCAAACTTACTCAGGCTCATGGCACCATCACTGACCATGCCCGAGTCATGTGTTGCCGTGCGTCTTCTCGATGGTATGGGCGGGCAGGGTGACATAGTCCCAGGTGAGCGATGCGGCGTTTGATCTTTCCACACACGCGACACATGCTGGTCCAAAATGTCTTGGTCGTTGTCTTCATCGAGCGCAAACTTTTCACGTATCGCCTCAGCGAATGCACGATCATTGGCACTGGATGCAGTGCCGGGCATGCGCTGCAATGTTGGACAGATGACAGCATATTACTATATAAATATTTTTGTATATTCCATTGTTTACCTCTAAGCGCGCACGCTCTTCTAAATCACGCTTGCGCTTCACCTCCTCAAGCTTGGGTATCAGCAGGGACAACAGTTCATTTTCCGAAAGCGGTCTGTGCTCGTTTGAATGTAGTCGTTGCGTGCGGGGTATAACCTAGGTATAAAAAGTATAATTAATTAATTAAATATGTATATGCATTGGGGATGACTTTTTCTTTAGGTACCTGAAAGCTGTTCGTTTCCTTATTCGCCATGGCGCTCTGTCGTATGGCCTTGCTCTCCGTCGAGCTGTGTCTACGTTCTATGTAAGGGCGGCCATCCCTGGAAAAACATCCGAATAGCAGTTAGTATAGTTAGAATAGCAAAGTTAGAGTCCGAATTTATGCCTCTCTTCAATGCCCTCTAGCACTCCAGCTCACATTGAGTTATCTTAGGACCAATTACTCACATTGAACAACTGGACAGTGACATTGTATCGGAGTCGGTGCGGCCGCCAGAGCTAACGCTTGCCCTCTCCGAATCAACGCGCGAGTTGGGTACAAAGGATGTATTGGTGCTCGCAGTATACACATAACCATGAGCTCTATTCGCATGCGGAACACATTCATAAAAAATGGGGGCAACATAATTGATGGATCCATGCAATGTGTTTTGTTTTATGTACAGAGCAAATCGAGGAGTTCCAGAAATTAAAATATGTATACAAAAAATTAGAAGAAAAAATAAACAAAACGATGTTTATAAATCCGTGTTGTTGTTGTTGTTGTGTGTGCAGATGGGTTCGTTACGGTGAGTGTCGCATTTCATGGTTGTATGTTTGTTGTTGTTGTTGTTGGGTGGGTTCGTGCGTACGTGCGTTTGTGATCGTACAAAAATGTATTGATATGTAAATAAAAAGAAAGCATTTTAAATAAATTAACACAATAAATAATAAAATATAAATATATGTATATTATTTGAAACAAAATAAAAGCCAAGAATTCGTTACTTAACTATTTTACATATCACTATAAAATAACTGAAAGTCTATACCCCTGACCCTCAGTCTAGTACATACATAGTTACTTGTTCACATCGCCTTTCTTTGCGATTTTCATGAATTTATGTCATGTTTATAAGTTTTCGTGCTACTTTAAAAACTAAGAGAGCGAGAATGCGATTGAGAATTGGATTAACAAAGAAAGCGACTTAAAGAAAAAATGCCCCCCTTCTAGATTAGCTTCTTAATACGTTAACGGCATCTTTAGAGTTATCTTTATTGACTTAACTCATCATACTAAAAGAGTATATATACTTTTCGAGTTTGAAATTGCTTTTTGCTACTTGTTTTATAAATTAGTCCAAATTTCATAAAAGCCTTGCATTATGATGAATGATATATGCACAGTTAACGATATTCAAAGAATTGAAGATGAGAATAATGTGTATATGACTGGCATAAAATATGTACATGCCTTAATTATTAATTAATTATTTACTTTTACTTATATTAAATAGAATGCTAGGCAAAATAATAAAAAAGAAATGTAGACTTTAATACTTCTACACTACTTCTTCTAATTATTTCCTCTATGCTATACAATTTATATTTAGAAACAAAAAATTGTGGCTTTAGAATAAAATTCATGAATCTAACAAACTAATAACTTATTTTATAACAATTATTATAGAAAATCTATGTTCAATTTTAAAATATTATTGAAAAAGTATATAGCTTATGTTTGAGTCTATGCGGGATATGAAATAATAGCAAAACTTGTGCTAGACAAAAATGAGATTTATTCGTATCAAATTACATACCCGGGAGGTCTAATTTCCAGTCTTCTTTTCTGAGTTGCTATCAAAAGGTCGCGCGTGAGACGCATAGGTAAATCGATATGCTGGCGACCACCGCCCTCCACCTGCACCTTCTCGAAATCATCGCAAAGCGACAGCACCGAATCCTCATGCAGTGTGGGTAGTGTGGAGCTGCGTGGCAGTGTGTCTGTGGCACTGATGGAGCCACTGGAGCTAGCTGACGTTGATGGGCCGTAAACGCTGCCGCTGGCACTACAAGTTCCAGCTGGCAACGGAGCCCCGCTGTTCATCGGCAAATTGATGAAGACACCCGGAGGAATCGGACCACTGCCGCCTGCGCCTGTTGTGACCAACAGCTGCTTGGCAGTTGCCGTCGGCAGAGCACAGGCACCGGCAGTGCTGCCATTGTTGCTGCCGCAACTGCCGCCGCTTCCGCTGCTGCCCGCACTGCCCGTTGCGGTGGCGCCGCTGCTGCTGAAACGTTCCTGCACTGCGGACATATGCTGTATGTACTGTATGTACATCTCAGAGCAGAGGAAGCTCGGATAGATGTTGTCCCGTATGGTGGCCTCCACATGCTGCTGCATGGGATCATAAATGTGCGGACTGAGCGGAATCTCATTCGATTTGACGGCCTTGATTTGAGCGCGCAAATCATCAGAAATGGACAGTTGGCTTTTGCGCAAGAATCTGTGAATGTGAACCGAAAGACGGTTATTATCAAATCGAAAGCAGTTCCGAATTCGTATAAGAGTCTTACCTATATATGGCTCCGATGATTTGCTTAACCTTCTCGGGATCTGTTTGCTGCTTCAGACCCTCGCAGGCAAAGTAAAAATTGAGATGATCATTGTAGGCGGGCGCCTCCTCCTCAACATACTTCTTGAACAACTCCACCCCATCGCGATCCTCAAGCAGATGATTTAGCGTGCGGGCCCAGTTAAGATAAGATGGAGGTGAGTTTTTTGAGGTATCTATTACCCCTTCGGTCATCTGTACATATATCATTTGATAATGGAACTTCTCCGTTTGTCTAGTATATGTTTTAGCTTCATTACCTTTTTAACACGGCTCTCTTCTCCGGGTACAGGTGGTCGTGGTCCACTACACTCATTATCACCATGTTTCCGGAATCCCAATTGATGGCTCATGCCACTCTAAATTCGCTCGCTTCTCGCCTCTTTTCTTGTGGTCCGACAATTCTCCACACTTGGCTTTTGCTGTGATGCGTTCTAGCTTTTTATAATATTTTATCTAGTGCTATGCTTAAGCTAATTGAATCAAACGTGTTTTAACAAATCACAAACGCCAGATATTTTAAAAATATTTGGGATATGGAAGATGCTCCTGGTGCATTTATTTCGTTAGCGAATTTGGAAGGCAGTTAGACAAGGCCTGCAAAATAAAAAGGAAATTTTTTAAATATATTTAAGTTGAGATAATGATGTTATTGTATTTCAAGTGTTTAAAGAGGTAGAAGTTCGAGCTGCCAAAAATTAGAATTGTGCAAAAATAAAACTATTCATTACATTTAAAAACAAATTTTTAAATAAAAATTAATTTTCAAAAATATGAGATTTATGTATAGAAATATATATATATTTAAAATTTCATAATATTCATCCATTGTTGGTTTCATAATATATAAATTTTCGATGGTTTGAATCTTCTCTGGAATCTGTTTAAATTTCCTAGCGAATAGATAATGATTCATATTAATAACTCATTGAAAAGAATCGTTACAAATGATATTATCAATGATTCATTAAAAAGAATCATTCAAAATAATGATTCATACTAGCCTCGTGTTATAATATATATTTACCATATGGTATAAATCAGGTCTATCACCAACAAGTGTGTATATGCGAAAGGCTCTATCCATAAAAATAATTTATTTTTCAAGTTCAAGTGAACGAGGGAAGTTTTCAAAACGTATACCTGAACTTACCAAGCTGTTGAAATTTTTGAGTTGTGCTTAAATAACCATGTCTCAAAATCGATATTTATCACTATTATGAAAATTGAGGAAAAAATCTATATTTATCAATACTATGAAAATTGATAGCATATAGGTTGGTTTTGAATTAGAGCTCGCTTCATAGTAAAATATAAATTGTAAACCCAAGTTCAAATTGAAACTGAAATTGTTCCGCTTTGTTGACTTGAAATAAACCTTGCAATTAAACTTCTTTTTTATTTATTAGTTAATTTTATATAAGTATTTATTTGACTTAACTGAGTTCTTAACTGAGTTAAGAACATGTATGTACATGCAAGCTAAAATGAGGGGAGGACTACACATAATTTCAAACTAACTAGTTAAGTCACACAACAAGCTGCACTCAAACAGGAATAGGTCAACTTAGTTGTAAAGGAAATGCAATTTGAATAAATGCAAAAGTTAAAATTGAATGCCGTTTTACGTTACGTGCCGCAAGGGAATGCAGATGTATTAAGTCATGTGCATGGTATGGAAAATGTAATGCTCTTAACTGACATTTATTGGACTCCTTTGCGCCTGCAGCGTCAGCCCCCAAGCGCCATGGATGCTGATGAAAGCGCAAGCATATGACCACAAGGAGTCGCATTTATTTATGTATAATTTGATATATCGAAGAAAATTGAATGGCGGCCATTTTGAGAGCGTTTTTGATTGGTTCACGTTATCGACCAATACAATATACCAGTCAGGGCAGAGCAAAGCAGGGAAGGGTAGGGCAGAGCCCATGGCAAAGGGAAGGACAATAATCCGTGATATACGAAATTTGAAAATGGAACGCGCACACACACACAGAGAGAGAAGTCGAGCAGGGGTCGTTGGTGGTGGTGGCTCTGCTTCTGTCTGACGCGCATGAAAATCAACAAAAAAACATTTTTTTTTCAGCTTCCTCTTTTTATTTTTGCCGCAGTCAAAGCAACAACAAATACATGAGAGCACTGTCGCCGCCAACAACGGAGCAACGACGACAACGGCAACAACAATCACAAAGGACGAAAACAGCAGCAGCCCATCCCAGGCACACACACACACACACACACACATAAACATGCAAACTACACACACACACGCACACACATACACAGTGATAAAAGCGTAATAAAGGGGGATGAACGTCTGCTGGGACAACAAAGAGAGCGCCCGAGCCAAGGAAACTCATCAAAACGCCATTTGCATAGCACTCCATTACAGCCAAAAGGACAAAGCAAAAGGCACAATTAAAAACGCTCAACACGAGGCGCACACACACACACACGCGCGCACACACATACAAAGCGCCGACAGAGACAGCGCGAGATGCAGAGCCATACATCTATATATCAACATACATATCTATATCTTTGCATGCGCCTAGAAAGCGCTGGCCACTTGAAGCCCACTCGTATGCCTCCCTCCTCCTTCTCCTCTTGCTCCGCCTACGCCCTTCTGGCCACGGCGTAAAGGCGCCCAAGCCGAGTCACTCAAAGCCAAACTATTGAAAATGCGCGGCGCCTCCTTCAAAACGCGCGAACGATAAGTTGTTGGCGCAACGAAATCCTTAGCCACGCGAAATACCCTCCAACATCAAAGGATCCAGCTGGCTTTTAAGCATATAATAGCTCCTTTGGCGTGCACTAATGCAACAAGGATGCCAGAATTGTCTAAGGCAGCGCTACTTAATGCACAGTCTCGACTTTTCTCTGCGCAAAGCTCTAATCAACCAACAAAGGCATAAGAAGGGTTTGCTTTACCTAATATCCTAAGAAAAAGTTAAAAGATATTGGATGTGCCATATCTATAAAACGAACTGTATATTTAATTTAAAAGACCGAGCTGTCTCTAGATAATATATTGATCAGTTTGTATCTTTGCGAATTCGATTTCAAAGCTTTATCTAGGAAGGTTTTTTTTCCAGATATAGATCATATACGGATGTATGTATATACTTTAATCATGTCTGATTGAGGTGTCTTTATATAATAAGTTATTATTATATTATTATCTGTTCAGTTATATATTATATTCTGCGATTTATATACTTTAATTGTGTAGATCTAATAAGTCGGATCTAGCAGAGTTTTGTATGGCTGAGACACCATTGGTAAAAATAGATGGCAAGCCATGGGGTCGTATACTGCTAGACTCTGGGCATTGCTAAACTATATGGAATAGTTATTATTTTTACTATACTGAACCTATTATTGCCTTATTCAAGTAATAAATTAAAGTATGTTGCGCCGTAGCGGGTGTTATAGGGATATCTTAATGACAAAATCCTTAAACTCCAGGAAAAAGGAGCACCTCTGTGAGGTATACCATATTTCCATCATGTTTTTTTATATCGATCAATCAGCTATATACTATATTATATATATTCTAAAACATAGTTAGATCTGGCTAACTCCTTCTATCTTTAAGACTGTGAAACTGAAAAAGTTTGCACAGAGACAGGCAGACGACGGGCATGACTTCATCGGCACGGCTGTGAAACGAACTGTTGCCAGTCATAGATGCGCTACACATTTCGTGACAATATTATAATAATCTCTGCAATACGATTCAAATAGTCTAGATAATATGAATACTAGTATGATTAATATAAATACTTATTCATATTTTTATATCCGAAAAAAAGGGTATAATGGTTTTGTACAAATGTATGTATAACCGGCAGAAGGAAGCATTTCCCATAAAGTATATATTCTTATTTTTGGTCAGTATCAATAGCCGATCTTCCCATGTCCGTCTGTCTTCCCGAATATATTAACGCAGCGATCTCAGAGCTTATAAGAGCAAGAGACTTGAACCATTGACGTAGGTGGAGGTAGGCAGGTAGGTAGGACGCGCAGAACGAGTTTGTTTTCGAGCATCCACAACTTTCACTGTTGCCAAGCAATCGATATAAATCGAAATCTAGTTTTTTGAACGTATCTTCTATGTTTTAAGAACCAGAAGAAGAAGTCAAGTAGATAAGTAGATACGGACCAAGTATACGTATATCTTTGCTGAAGCGGGATTAGGTAAAAGAATAAGGTTCCGACTATAGCTTTTCTACTTATTTGAAATGAAAAGGTTGATGCATATATAGAAGAATATATATACATATGTATATATACTCGACCTGCATCAATTTGCGTACATATTATGTATATGAATGTATATATTTTTTAGCGTAATTATTTTTGACGATAGTTAATCTAAATATCAGTTTACATATATGTGATATTTTTAAATCGCCTAAATATATGTGTTCCACGGATCTCAAGCTAGAGTCTCCAAATTAGACAGGCAGATAAGATAAATCGTGCCGACAATATTGCCGCTCCCACAGTCATATAGTTCTAAATTTTCAACAGTCGCAGTTTAAAACTCTCTGCCTTAGGTTAACAATTTTTAAAATGCTATCCGTATGAACCAGAAGACTTTTTGCCAACCGCTTTCAACAGTTTTTTCAACGTAATTAGAGTATTTTGTGGTCTGATGAATGGGACTCCAAAGTTCTTAAGTTTCAAGAGCCTCAGGTTATGAAACAAAAACACTTCTCAAACCCAACAAAAAGTATTTTTTTGCCAACTTAAATAGTGCGAATTTGTTACTAGGGGTTCAATTGCAACAAAATCAAAATATAGAGGCATTCGAACTATTCATAATAAACAACTAATTTAAATTGAACTACAAATTGAGAGCAGCGAATTGTCCGCAGGATGCAATTGAAAAGGGAAATCACTTTATTAAATTATTTGTACGCTATATAATAATTATGTGAAACTTATTGTGGCAACGAATTCTATTGTATCTTAGTTCCAGCCGGTTGAATGCCAGAGATTAACAATACACCTCGGGGCAGAGCCAGGGGATAGGGAAGAAATCCCCTTGACGGCAGACAACAGTTGAGGCACGAAACATTTTATTATCCCTATTAAATTTTGTACGCTTCACAGGATAAATGCCTCTTGCGTATATATTATGATTATTCATAATGATTGACAGCGGCTTCCAAATCGAGAGTCTCTGTTGAAAGACGTTGCCGCTGCAGGATGCTGCAGGATAACAACTGCGGTATGTTGGCATTTTCTCATCTTTTCTTTGTTTTTTTTTTTTTTTGTGCGATCTTTAAATTGCATACTTACAAACAGATAACCCGCCTGTGCACAATTTGTGCGAGGTGTATGCCAAGGATCTTCTACTGACTGCCAAGTGACGATACATCCAATGACAATGGCTTCTCAGGCTAAAGGTGCCGGCGTTTTGGGATTCTCAACTTGATTACCAACTGTTGACAAACACGAGCCACACACAAAAATGTCCTGACAAACGGCACAAAGCTAAAGAGTCAAACTGAATCCTGTTGCCGTTGACAGCAGCAGCCCAGGCTGGAAACTCGGTCCACAACTACGAATGCACCCTGTTTACGCTGCATATGCGCGAGTATAAGTGTGTGTGTTTGTGTGTGTGTGTGCTTATATAAATGGCATAGTACATAAACACATTTTTTTTTGGGGGTTGCCCATGTAACTGCTGTCAGTTGGTTAGGAGGGTGGCACTTGGGAGAGGGGTTTGTGAGTGGAAGGCACGCTGCTGACTGCGTCTTTTTGGGGCACAATTGTTGCATGTGCGTTTTAATGGCCTTGCAAAGGGTATTATACATTTGCAACAAGGTATGTAACGTATACAGCTCGATATGTATCTTCAAGCGGATCATTCAGCTGAGTATAAATACCTGAGTCGATATAACCATGTCAGTCTATCTGCTTAAACAACCCCCTTTTAATAAAACATTGCATTCGTTTGTCATTGAATTATCATATTTCGAGTCAGCCGGATCTCCCAGATATTATATACTAGCGGTTATTTCCCGACACTCGTCGGGCCAAGCTTTTTTCTTCCAATTTTAAACATTACTTATCCATATATATTTAATAATATTTTCCAGATACATAGATATTTAAAAATGAGTTTGATGTTCATCGGATGAAATGAAGAACGAATTTTTGAATGTAGACCTATAAAAATGCAACTTTCGCTTGCACAACCTTTCACCCACATTTTCAACACAAGATGGGTTGAAATTTACTTTCGCTAAGCTTCTTTATCTTTAAAACTATCCGTTTTTTCGCAAATTTTCGAACCTTGCCGGTAGAATTTCCCAAATTTTTGTTTAAGCATTTACCTTCATCACGTAAGGTTGTTTTAGTACAATTTTATAGCTTCTTACTTACGGTTTGAGCTGTTTGTTGATCAATCAATAAATCAAGACACGCAGTTCTTAATATGGAGATTAAGTTAAAGCTCTCGAGAGAAATTATCGATCGGATACATAGTTTTGTGTGAACTATTTTTAAGTATTTCTAGATATCGTATCGAAAGACAGCACGAAATCACGAACATTACTTAAATAACTGCATAGAAACTATCAATGAAAAAATGATTATTTAAAGAAATTTTTCTTCTGCTTTAAAACATCCAAAATAATTTCAGCAAATATGGGTTTTCCTATGCTTCTAACGAAGACTGCAATTTGAATATTAACCGAACCGATCCGAAACTGGGATTACCATTTTGTTCTATGATTCGAACTGGTTGATCAAGAAATAGGCAAAGCTAAAACTATAAAGAAAAATGTTAAGCCCAAATTTATTAACATTTAAAAATTTGAAATTACAATATTTTCCAAATATGAAAAGTTCGAGAATTACAACATTCGAAAAATATAATGAACTGAATTCTTTTAGAAATAAGTTTGACAGTAGAAGGTTCAAAGAAAAGCCTGGTTTCATAAATGTGGATGTAAAAGAGCAATAGCTTCTATGTATCAGAATACTAAATTTGGTTGGTAAATCGGTTTTTTCGAAGAATAAAGTAACGTTGTGTAGGCCAAGCATAGAAATATGTCGCAAATCCGTTAAATGTTTGCAAGGGTATTTAAGCTTCGGCAGCATAAAGTTAACTAATGCCAAAACGTTATGTTGAATGCGGCGTTTTGCATTAATATTGTGGAATATTAGATGATTGAGTAAGGACTTCGAGCACTTGATACTCCAATCAGTGAGGCTGAGTCATGCGAAAGCTACCACTTGGACAGCCGCTGGCTAAGACCAGCCAGCTGCCCCACTCCATCCCCCTAATAACCGCCCAACCCGCTAACTGACTGGCCGAGCGACCAACATAATGACTCTTCATGTACAACAAACACAAAGGATGTTCATTTCAAAGTGTCAGTGGTTGCGGCCTGTCCTGGCAAATGCGCGCAAAAGAGACGCCACTACGGAATAGAAGTTGTTGTGTGTGTGCACGGGCGTGTGTGTGTGTGTGTGTGTACACAACCAATATGCGCAGGTCCAGAGGCTGTTCTCGTACATACAATGAAAGCAGAGTAGAAAAAAATAAAACCAAATCCAAACAATTCGAACAGTCCATGTACTGTCGCACACAACGGGCGAGGGTTGCATTTATTGTGCCCCCACCCACAATTATGGTGCACTATGCTTGCTTTTTCATTTTTATATATATATATATATTTTTTTTAACCACCCTCTCTATCAGTCAGACTTTAAAAGCAGCCGCGCTTTTCAACAAAACTCCAAACAAACATGAACATTTATTTCCAATAAGTTTTAAAAACAAAGAGGCTGTGCAAAGCGGGGCGGGGCGAGGGCGGGCTGCCGGGTTGGGGTTCACGCTTGGTGCTGGAAACTGCAGCCGGCGCCGTTTGTTTCTAATGAGGTTAAAGGCAAATTGCCGACGACCGCCATCGCTTTGAGCTTTGAATGTTGAGTCTGATTCGAGTCTAGACTGCAAAACTGCAAAAGCACACAACTCGCACATGGAGCACACCAATTGACCTTCGTGTGTTGCTTGTGTTTTAAACAAACTGCAAAAACTTTACTTTCGCTCGGAACAAAAGCATATACAATCTTTTCACACAAATACGTATATATTAGAGTATATAAATAAGTGACAGTTCATCATATTAAAGTTCGATCATGCACATCAGCTGACATATATTGCTGTTAATACATTATATAGATCTTACATATTGCCATATCTCTGATAAACCTTGCAGCAGGTAATACAAATTTTTCGTCAACTGTGCCTTTTAGAAGACATTTAAAACTCCATAAAATAATAATAAAATATAAAATTTTTCATGTCTATTTTTATATAAGCTAGTTCCTCAGCTTTGAAGCATTTTAAAAAAAATATTGCTTAGTCCCTCACCTCTTGCTTTTGCAAGCAGCACATGTCCTGGTTCGGCTGACTGACTGAAGCTATAAACAAAACCTTTTGATTTTAAAATCTCTTAACTGAACTTTCCAATTACAATCTTTATTTATATTGATTCCAATTTACAAGCAAAATCTAATCAACATCGGACTCTACTATATCATATTGCACCTGTAGAAACAATCGGCTCGAAATTGCGTTTGTTTTCTTAAATAGTTTGTTTAAGCTCGACTATTACAATCTTCAATAGGATCTTAAAGTTTGAACAAAGTTAACAGCATCGGATTAATACATACATCATATAGCTCGGTTATATTAATATAGCTTTTCTCTGTGCTCCTTACATTTTAGAGAAATACAATATATACCGAGCTCCTATGTCATCCAAAACCTATGCGAATAATCCGGTTTTTTAAATAATTTAGTTATTTAAGTATGTTGTTTTGATCCATTTTACGATAACTTAATTATTATAAATTATCAAACTTCTTCACTTTACTTTACTCGACATATCGTTTATATATAAAATTAATTTATATTATTTTGTTACGCAGAAATATATATATTGTTTACGGACGTAAATCGAGTATTTTTTTTAGTTGCTCTTAATCCGTAAATCTTAACTTAAATAAATAGAGAAATACTTACATGTGTAATTTGCATTAGGTTTGTGTGAGATACAGAGATCTTGGGATTCTAAAAACTGCAGTTTCTACAAAAAAAAGAAAAAGATTTTGAATTGTTTTTGTTTCTTTTATCAATGCGTTTAATATAATAAGAAATAAAATGTTATGTAATTTGATAAAAAATCTGATTTAATATTTTGAATGTATATAATGAGCATATTTTATTGTATAAAAACTTCTGCAAGGGTAGAAAGTGATTTATAAACTACAATTTTATTACTAAACGATCTTTGAGATATTATTGAAAAAATAAATATTGAAGAATTCGACGGCATATATTTCTTAGAGTTCAGCTTCATAGGTAAATCAAATTGTAACAAGCTCTAATTTTTAAATGCCATATTATTCTACACAAAAATATAAATATATTGATTATTAATTCCCATTTTTTCAGGCGTATGCAAATTTCATATTTCAAAGTTATATTTCAAATAAATTTTCGACTCAAGATGCATGCAAAGCCCGAAAATTTTTCTCACTAATCGATCTGATTGCATAGCGACTACTTTATGATTAACACGCTTTAACCAGTTCTGAATTATAAGCCTGCAAAGTGTGTTAAACAGTTTAAAGTCACGCATGATTAGATATTAGGCTTAAGTATTTACAAATGTGAAACAATCGAAGAAAGCAATAAAATTCTGGCTCCTTGAAGTGAAATTTTTCTTCATTGCGCACAAAATTGAATAACCCTTAAAAATGTGGTTCGATTTGAGACAGCAGCTTATTTTCCGAAGAAGGGTGAAATTACAAATATTTTTCGCACGACTTGATGTAAGCAACGCGTTACTAAAATCATTGAAAATATTTTATTGAATTTCAGCTGGAATTGATTGAAATGCTCAAATTGCCAAGCAAGGAAACAATCTCTTGTGGTTGCTTAAAATTGATATGGTAATACTATGATTATAGTGGAACTCATGATACACAACACGTAAAACGACGAAGGTTAAAAATTCATGTAAACATGGCTAACTGTTTGCAGATATGTGGGAGCTGTGGAGCTCGTAATTGCTGATATTGATGAAAATCTGTTCAAAAAAGATCTGTTCATACAAAAAATACATTTTTCGACCGATGTAAGTAGTAAAGGGAAACTAAAAAATGCCGAGTTTGATCGAGATATATCGAAAAACAATCAAGTTTTCCATACAATTATTTAATTTTTGACGGATCGTTCTTGTGACAACTATATGATCCAGTGATCCCCTGGGGCCGCTAACAACATATGTACTGCCTGCAACAGAAAGACGGACATATAACATTTTATGACGATATCTGTAAACCTGAGGGACTAATATCGGCTCGGCCGTTGATACGGATAAAAAATATATGTACTTTAAGGGAGATGTTTCCATTTCTTTATAAAGACATGATAAACATTTTTAAAAATAAATTAATATCATTAAAAATTATCGGCTTGTAACTACTCAACGGATCTGGAAGCGAAGTCCCACTAAATGAATACCCAAATATTACCATAAAAAGATAAATTTATAAAACTGATAGCTCGATTAGAAAATTTGTAGCGAACATTTTAGATATATTTGAATATTAAGATTTAGTATAATACCAGTTTGACCTTTATGTTTCCCCATACAAAATTACTGTCATAGGAACAATCGGTCGAAAACAATCTTGGTATGAACAACTTGTAATGATTTTCAAAATATCTTGTCCATTTTGAACAGGTGCGAGTTTTAGGACCTTTTAATATTCATACATATCAGCAAAATCTTACTAACATCAGATTACTTTATCATATAGCTCCCATAGAAGAGCTCGAGGGAAAAGAGTTTTTTTCTGTTGCTTTACACAAAAAGCTATATGTCTGGAAGCGTATTTAATTCTTTTGCAAACCTAAGATAGATCTGCATTTATGTTTAAAATAACTTTTATTTTGATATTAGGCTTTTCTCTCAAGTCTTCGTTGTTAATAGAGCATTATATATGTATGTTTATGCATACATATATAATAAATGTTGCATTTATATATTTTTAATTTCCATACCGAGGATAAAACCATTGCAGCATTGTCCTTAGAAATTAATATCTATGGTATATATTGTATGTTATCTATTTACATGTATATTTGTACTTTAGTAGCCATCATTAACTAAACCAAAAGATGCAAAAGGGTGATTATCAAATGGAATATGGATCAAATGCATATACGCACCTTCGATTCGCTTTTATGCCATTTGTTTTCCTTTAATGTGGTTGATAGTGTGTGGTCCTCGTGCGTAGCAAATGCATTGATGGTGGTAACGAGGTGGGCTTGGACGGGTGTATTATTATTGTAGCTCTTGCTGTGGCTGTAGCGGCTGGACGTGATATCGATGGCAAATGCGACGAGGAAGATTTCATTTTGATTTAAATGCTCAACGAAGAATTTATTATAACTATAATCCGTAATGGGAATTGCACGAGTAAAATGGGCTAAGAATGTTCAACAATGTGCCAATAAACGTAAACAACGAAATGAATGTAACAAGAATTGGAGAGGCACGACAATGGCAAATGATCAAATTAAATGCTAAACAAGGCGAAGGACGAGCAGCAGCTCCAGCTCCAGTTGCAGTTGCACTCGCCGGTTATATGTGATTATATGTGTGGTGGCAGCACCAGCGCTGGACGCGAACTCTGATTTCGTTAGGTGATAGTTGCAATTGTCTTTGAGTTCATTTCCTTGCAGTGTCAAGGTGCGTCAATATTCGGCTGCCCGTATTCACGCTTCAATATCGGACGTATATTTATTTAAATCACTGTGGTGGTGGCAGGAGTAGGAAGAGTCACAAGCAACTCCTCTGGCAGCTCTCGGCCAGAGAGAATGCAGTGAAAATCGTAATTTAAAGCATTTTTCATTTCAGCTGCACATCCAAAGAACCGAAACATAAGTTGAAACTAACTTATACATTGCTCAGCACTTAACAATTGCTTTATGCATATATTTTATAAGATGCTGCTTTTAGAAATTTTTATTTATTTATTCTCGTCTTCTTTTTTTTTTGTGTATTTGTATTTATGTTGCCTCGGTCCTGCTGCTGTTGTTTGATTTCAATGGACGTTTTTTGCTTTGGGTAGGTTTAAATTTGTAAATGTTTCAAACGCGTGCACATTATCATCGGTTCACTGTTATTATTAACAAAATGTTTTCAATGAAAAACAAAATATATATTTATTATTGAGGCAACTTTTGTTTGTTAGCCACTTTGAGGTTAGAACAGCAGAGTTGTGTTGCGTCTGGGTATGTTGCATTGTATCGATATATCGATACATAGCTTACATTTCGATGGCAGAGTGGCTCTTGTCTGCGTTTTCCTTTGCTATTCAATACAACAGCGGTTTAAATTTACGATACTTTTCATACTAATCTTGGTTTATCAGCAGAAAATCCAAAGAACTATAACAACCTCTGGCGACAACAATCTTTGATTGATATATGTTTTTTTTTATTTGTTGCAAGCGAGAATTATTTACAATAGAATCAGCTTGTTCTGTGAGCAATTACTACTCGATATATTAAACAGTTGGTAACAGTAAAAATAAATGTTAGTCGCTGTTAGGTTTGCTGCTAATTAACAGCTGTCAAAGCCCACGCATAAGAAGGAACATAAACAACACCACGAATAACAAAATATATATAAACACAATTTTGTCAAGAGAGCTCCAGCTCCATCAAAGACCATAACAGACGAACAAAAATGTCTGCTCATGATATAAAGTTGGAGGTATGCGTTGATTCCATAAAATCCGCATTTGCGGCAGAGGAAGGTGGCGCCGCGCGCATAGAGCTCTGTGCAGCACTACAGGAAGGCGGTTTGACACCCACAACCGGAACGCTGAAAACACTAAAAGAGCTGCCATTTACTTTACCCATCCACTGCATGCTGCGTCCCCGACGTGGCACCGATTTCGTCTACAGCGAGGAGGAGATGCAGGCGATACAAACAGATATGGATTTGCTGCGTACTCATGGCGCCGATGGCTTTGTTTTTGGGGCACTTACACCAGAGCGAACGATTGACGTGGACAAGTGTCGACGTGTGATGGAACGTTCGTACGGACTGCCCGTTACCTTTCATCGCGCCTTTGATCTCACCGACCCGAAGTTAATGCACGAGAATGTCCAATTGCTCAAAGAGCTGGGCTTTAAGCGTGTTCTTAGCAGCGGATTTCGTGCATCAGCTGCCGAGGGTGTTGATTCCTTAGCGCAGTTAATAGCTAAGCATCACCGCGACATTATTATAATGCCAGGCGCCGGCATCAAGGTAGCTAATCTGGAAGAGATTCTTACTTTCAGCCGTTGTCAAGAGTTTCATGCGTCTGCCTTGGACACAGCTAGCGAAGACTACAGTGCACCCACGACGACACGCATGGAGTGCGATGTAACAATGGGCAAACAGGACATTGATCCATACTATGGCACAAACATCTACGTTGTGCGTAAAATGGTAGCTATAGCCAGTGCCATGAGCTGCAGATAAAGGACAATTACATTTATTTTAATTATTTATGCTATGCATATTTACAATGTACATATGTGAATTTATCCAGTAGTGTAGTACATAACCATAAGTTACCGCAAACTGTGTCCTTAACCTTCTAAGATAATATTAAATTTACATCCTAGTATAACGATATTTTGTTTCAATCGATTGCTTTGTATGTTCATTTATACATTTCTGAAATCATCTTTGGCAAAAACACAAATTTAGAACGTTAAGCTGTCAAATTAAATTCGTGTGAAGCTCACCATCGGTGAGCTCAATCGCAGATTGTGTAGAGCTCGCTAGTTTTGCCCAGCAATTGGACAACGCGGAGCACATGCTGAAAAGGGCCGACGAGTATAATGACAAACTTGCTGTCCAAATCGACAATCTTAAACACGTCGTGCGCAGCAACCGAAACGTACTCGAGAAATTGCGAGCCAATGAGCAGCACATGAAAACGCTATTCGAAGACCAGAGCCAGTCGGAGCTCCATGCTCAAATGATATCACACGTCAAGCGCCTCAAAAAGAAGGTAAAGCAATCAACAACAACGCAGTTAATTCAATATAGCCTGTAACAAGTGCAAATGTATGCAACTGTCAAGAGGAGGCATCTCCAACCTAATAAAGAAGCTATGTATGTATTTTTGGTCCAGCGCAATCTAGCCATGTTCGCCAATCCGAAATTATGAGATGAAAACCGCAAATTTCTGTTCGTTACTTCTTAAAAACCATTTCCGACCCCTTTAAACGCGGTAAAGTGGCATTCATTAATGGGATTTCCTTTTTTTTATGGGAGCAAGAAGTATTTGTGTTTTATCACACGTTTGTATATGTGTTATGGTTATCCGAATGTATGTTTGGCTAATTCGGAGCTAGGTAAAGGAAACCTATAGTTAGAGAAACCTTGACCAGAACCCGATTACATGTTCTTCTAATTCTCAACTACTTGTCACCAGCTTTTCGTTACACTGACCACGTTCAACGCGCTGGAAGCCGAGCAGAAGGCCAGCGTCAATAACCAGGACCACAGCTCAGAGTCAAGCCTGGCGCAACAAATCTGCGAAATTGGCGCAAATCTCATATCTATTGGCAATGAATTAATGTTGCTGCGTGAGGACAAAGCGGCTGCGAAACGTGCATTATACCAACTACAGCAATGGTCCTGCAAGGGGCCCAACATAGCTGAAACATGCTGGACCCATTGCATGACCCCGTTGCAGGAGAATATTTTGCCCGTTGACCAGCTGGCAGTGCTGCGCAAATCAACGGAATCTCTGTCGCTGGCGTTTAACAAATCAACAGAGTCTACTCGCGAGGACCAATGTCAGAAGCACATAATTGAAAGAGGTATTATTATTATTATTTTACCATACATACTGATATGTCAAATTTGTATATTGTCTTAGTAGTTGAAAACGTTTTGGCCATAGCTGAGCAACTCAATATAAAGTCCGAGAAACTTCTAAATGTCAAAATCCTTTCAAAAATGGTGCTGAAGGCCCTGATTAAACGAAAGCAACTGTATCAGCTATGCTCTGCCAATAAATTGGCCAATGAAAAAGTGTCTAACACTACATTCGAAAAAGTATGCCAAAAAAGAACACGTACGAATTTCAGTTTCAATCCGTATATTGAATAATAAACAATAAATTTTACACATTAACAGCATTAGTAAAATAAACAATAAATGGTCATTGAATAGTTTTTCACGGTTTTTGTTTTCAACATTGCGGGGGGTATACTTCTGTTGTTCACTAACGTTATAAAATGTACTTTTCAGCTTAGCTCTTACGGTTTAGTTCTAACATTAAAGTTTGTAACAGTTTCTGTTGTAGGGGCACACCTGCTGCTCCTGTTTTGAACGCACATATGTTACATTAAGTTGGCAACAGTGGTATATTTAAATTTTGTAAATTGCGCAGGCGCAAAAAAAAATTGATTAATTTTACATGGTCTAGCATGTGAAGAAATTGCCACAACTAATACCGAACAAGCACGTTGACAACTATTTTGACTTCTGTGCGGCAATATTTGATTTAAATAGAACAAATCAATGCCGTAGACACTGCACAACTGTTGGCTGTCCATGTCAACCGTAACGAGTCTATATTCAAGAGGAACATATGGAGACATACGCCAGCGGCATGGACACTGACGATGGACACAGCAATGCCAGTAATGGCAATAGCACTGGTGTCAATGTCAGCCAATACGACTTCATGTTCGGCAAACATATGGAAACCTATAACGTGGAGGTGTAGAACAGTTCCACTAGGATTTGTTGTATTATCTAATGTGTTCCATTTCAGACCTCGGCGGTTCATCGCAAGCTGCAGAGCAAAGTTGAAGCGTTGCGCATTCTGCGCCAGGAGCTGGAACAGTTTCGCGTGGAGCGTGATCAGTACAAATTGATGGCCGAGACGCTGCAGCTACGCTACTCGGCCATGAAACGGAATAGCGAACTGCTGGCCGGGAATGGCAACGCCTGTGGCGCTTTGAGCCAGAATTCCAGTCTGGCAGCGCTGCTGCACGAGACGCGCGAATTGAATCTGAAGCTCAACACGGAGGTGGAAGCGCTAAAACAACGACTGGGTGAGTTGCAGGGCGACATGGAGCTGCTGCGTGAACGCGAGTCCAATAGCAAGTCCAGGCTGCAAGCGCTGCTCACAGAAAATGCTGCGCACAACAAGGAGGAGCTGCAATGGAAAAGGGAACGGGCAAATTTCATTTGTCATCTGGAGAATCTAAAAAAGAAGAACGCACAATTAGCATTCGATCTCAAGGCGATTATTGATGAAAAGGAGGAGCTGATGACGGAGCGCGATGCCTACAAGTGCAAGGCGCATAGGCTTAACCATGAACTATTAGTAGCACTAAAAGCCAACAAAATGCATCCAAATGTAAGTGGCTTGAGTTTTACAATCCATATACTGAATAAGTATTTAATATCGACATTTCAGTTGCTGGACATTGATGGCGTGCTGCTGGAGAACAAGTACCTGCACGAGCGCGTCAAGATTCAGGAGAGCGAGCTGGAACTCACTAAGCAGTCGGTCAGCAAGTATAAGGTAGATAATCAAAGTCATATAGCTTTGCTGGACGGGTAAAAATATCGCCTATTACACAAATATACCAGACAACTAGTATATTTCTGAAACATATACAATATTTAATAACCCATAAATAATCTTTTTATTATGTAATCTAAAATCTATAAATTTCACTCAGTCCATGCTGGAAGCAAAGCGCAAAAAGGGCATTGTCAAGCTTGGCGGTAGCACGAATGATGAAACCATACTAAGCCCCAGACAAGGTGAGTTAATATACATTCACACGTTGCTTAAATTGATTTTCCATATAATTTGTATTTGCAGTAAAAACTATACTGGAGAGCGGAATTGATCTGCCTGGCAAAACGGAAACAATACACGATCTGAAATCTTTGTGCCTGGCGCTGCTGGACAACTTAAACGACAAGAATTTGGCGCTGACGCATCAGAAGCGAACTAACAAGTAAGGATCAAAATATGATAAATACTCGAAAATGTTTCTAACCACTGCTAAACGTAGAATCCTTGCGGGTAAAATGGCGGAGCTGGAACAACGCTGGCAGCAACTCCTTAGCGGTGACTCTGAAAATACCGCTGTGGAGGATGAGGACGAGGAGCTGGGCTACGCGCCATCGCAGCTACTACTTAATGGTTACTGTGCTGCCATGGTCGATGATGTGGGCCATTGTACAGAAGCGACAGCAGCGACGGCAACTCCTTCTGCTTCTGCGCAGGAAACAAATACTTTATCATCCGAGCCATATGATATGAGATCCAGTGCCAATGAGTGCATTGGTGTCTTGCAGTCTGATGACGGCATGTCCTCGCTGTCATCAGAGTCGGCTGACTCCTCTGTTTATGGGATAGATGTACGACTGCATGACCTGGGCATCAATGCATTGAAATCATCCTCAGCAACGACAGATTCGGGCAATTGTGGTTTCGATTGCAATGGCACACCACGCGTATCCAGCGCCGTGGCTAGGGAACGAACGGAGGATCTGAAAGATTTGCCGCCACATTTGGCGGCATTGGTGCAGAAGGCACTGCACGATTTGGATATGCGTGACTACGAGGCGATGGTGACAATACGCGCCGAGAATGCTGCAACAATGCAGTAGTTGTAAACTTGTTGAATGTTTGTGTAATGCTTCCATGCATACCTATTCTTGAAAGCATATCGTGCATATGCCGTTATATACAATGCGAATTATTAATTATATATATTTATCTATTGTTTACAACGTACAATAAACACTTGTTTGCAGAGAAAAGACCATTTATTTGTATTCTGTTTTAAAATATTTATTCCGTTAATTTACGTGCAGTTTTACAGCACTCTTGACATTAGTTTAAGCGTTGTCCAACACTGCATAGCTACCATAGTATACATTTTCTGATAAGAAAGTTGTAGCTACTGCAATTAGAAACAAGTGTTTTATTTTTTGTTTTGTTTTGAATTAAAAATGCCTTAAAGTTGCAAGTGGGTCGCGTAGACCATGTGAATTCAAGTGCCATTATTGTATGGAAATGGAGCCCCAATCAAAAAACAGCCAAAAACGCGTAATAAACACAGCGCAAACAAAGCCAACCGTCTGAGCCAGCCTGCTGCCCAGCCAACCAACCCACACAATACAATCAGAAAGGCGGCCAGTCAATGGATCCATTTATGTTGTCCAACGATGTGCAAGTAGCGCGCGTTGCCAAGATTGGCGCCGATGTGGCACGCCGACAGGGCAAGCAACAACAACAGCAAAGGGATATCAAAGGCATATCAAAGGGCGGCGGCGGTGTGTTGGGCGATGACATTGAATTCGTCTTTGGCAGCATATCACCGCGGGGCGGCGGCCCCACCGCCAGTCTGGGGCAACACAGGCATGTTGTAGGCTCCCACGAGCTGGACTCGCCGGAGCATACGCAGCGCGACACAACCGAGAGCGACAATAACATATCCAGCTGCTCGACCCTGGACATTGTCAACAAAGTAAGTGAACGATACAGAAATCCATAGGCGGGCATATATGTATATGTATATACATATGTATGTATGTGTTCATGTCAAATTGGCTGCGTTGCGCACTGCGCAGATGCGTGGCACGTCGCAGGGTCAAGCTGCAGCGGCGTGCCAGACGAAGTGCAGCAACAACGACGACGTAATCGTTGGCGAAAATTTGTGTTTATTTTTTTTTGTTTGATCTGGTCATGATATCGGAGCAACTGCTGCCGCGCAGCCTAAGCTGTCTGTGCTGCAGCGACACGCCTCTGGGCGGCAACAGCGGCGGCCTCTTTCAGCATGCCGAGAAGCGACGCAGTTGGGAATACACGCTAATGGCACAGCCAATGTCGCGGCGCCCCATCAATGTGATATCTAAGATGATGTCAACACTTGCTGGCCAATTTTAATCAAATCTCTGTAAAATTGCAGGTTGAGCAGTTGTCCGTGCAGCAGCTGGAGAATCGCGTGCGTGAACTGTCGCAGCGCCTGCAACAGGCTGAGCGCCAACTAGCTGAGAGCAATGTGGAGCGCGATATGTGCCACAAGCGTCTTGAGGTTGTTAGCCAAGCACACGAGTGCCGCATCACAGAGATGCACTGCGTAATTGCGGAGCTGAGCAAGAAATTGCGCAGCAAACAGGAGCATATCATAATAGAGGAGCAGGAACCAGAGGGGGAGGGCAGTGGTAAGTCCAATAAATATAACTAATTGAAGATAACTGCAAAAGAGATCTCCTTTTAACCCACAGAGCTCAGTTATCAGGAGGGCTCCATATATAACTCTGAGTTGAATCTAACCAATGCGGATGCCGAAGGCGAGTGTCAAACGGAACCGTTGGAGGATTTTGAAGGTGCCTGCTCCAGCGCGGACAACATGCACATCAAGCCACAGGATGCCATCAACAAGGGACAGCTGGAAGCCCTGCAAGAAGAGGTACTGCATCTACGCGCACAAATTGCACTGATGCAGGCCGAAATGTCCACCAAGGATAAAGACTCAGCTGTCGTGGAAGATCAACCGAATGTCATTTATTTTGCCTGTGAACTGGAGGCCAATGAAAATGGCAACAATTGCGTCCCAGATGATCAGCGACTCAACGATTTGAACGGTTAGGCTAGACAAACTAATGTTTAACCCGTACTCCTTTCAAACCTCAATAACTAATTCTTTACAGCCTGCGTATCTGTAACCAGCCCACAGAAGTGCGTCAAAATGGCTGAACGGGTAAAACTGCGTTGCGCCAGCAAGAACGAGTCTAAAGTGGAGGCCCCACCTGAGAACGACAGCCAAACGGTGATCAGCAATGAGGTAAGTCGGCAGCTGCGCATATAGACTCCATCTCACACACTCACCGATTGCTCCTTTTAGGAAATAAATCTGGTCGAGCATTTGGTGTGCAAACAAAACTCGCTAATGGACAGCTTTATGGCGCCTCTACAGGTCGAGCTGGAGAGACTGCAGCGCAAAATGGAGCAACTGAAGATGCGCAATACATTGCTATCACTCACCTTGGATGAATCCAAAGAGCACACGGAGCACCTGTATCTACTTTGCGGCAAATACGAGTCAAACGCTGTGGCTTTGCAGCTGGCGCTCAATTGCAGCGATCGCGCCATCGAGGCCTACGATGTGATGCTGGCGTTACTGGAGAGCAGGTGGGTATATCTTTGGGCACATAAACAGAAGAAAATGGATTGATATACTAACTTCCAGGCTAGCATTGCTCAGCGATAAGTCAGCCGCGGCCGAGGAGAGTCGCCGTGCTGTGGAAACGGTGGCGCATCATTTGCTGGCACGACTAGAGAGTGAAAAGAATCTGTGCGAGAACAGCTTGGGTCCCTGGCAGCATAATATTAATCTGGGCGTTGATCATACGCCCAAGGGCACACGTAAATGGTGCGACGACGACGACAATCGTCTGCGTTATCACGTCTCTAAGTTGAAGGGTAGACGATCGGTCGTGCAGCATACCATAGTCAATCTGGAGTCACCATTCAGTGATGTCTTTGAGAAGAAACGTTTGGCTCTGGAGAAAGATCAGGAGTTGCGCGAGCACGAGCACGAGCACGACAAGGAAAAGAAGTCGCCCATGGATCTGGAGACGGCTGTCATAATGCAGGAGCTGCTTGACTTACGCGAGCAGAATCAGCAGCTGAAAACTAAAAAGGAGGAGGCTGAGCGCGAGCAACAATATGCCAATGAGCGTGTGAGCATTCTGCACGAGGCGCTCAAGCAGCTGCAGTCAGACAATCGGGTATCCTACTCTGAGGCCGAGCATGCTGCGCTCACTGAGCAGCAGCTGGTCGAAGCGCTGGGTCGGGAAACGGAGCTAAAAAGTCGCATTCAAACCCTGCTGAATATCAATGCCGCACAAAAGGCCAACGACGAGAAGTGCGAGCAAATGCATCAGAATTTGAGGGAACTGCAAAAATCGAATGAGTAAACTAGGGTAAAAAGTTATTTAATCCACAGACTTAACAATCTCTTCCTTGCAGCCAGCTGAGCCAGCTCCTGGAGCAGAGCAAACGCAAATATCAGTTGCGCATGAAAAGGTTGGAGCAAAAGGTGGCCGAAATGCGGCTGGAGCAGGAGCAACAGCACCGACACAGATTGCAACACAACGAACTTGTTCCTGAGACCACGTTGTAGATGTTCGCGAAGAATCCTACATCTGTTGCTAGCTTGGACGTACCGGAGTGTAGAAGCGCACACGCCTGCCACATATCCTGCTAAACGCTATGGTTCCTTTACTGTCTGCTATTTTGTAACTCAACCCCGTTGCTGCTGCTGCTCCCGCCGCCAATGCGCCACACAGTGTCCGCTCCGGGCGACCCCTAAGCCATAGATTGTATCACGAATGTGCCATAAAGGACTACAACTGAAAACAGCAAGTGAAGCTGTATTAACTACAATTACATACATACGTATACTTGCATATACGATTAATTAAATCTAGATTAGGTGGAGAAGCTACCACACAACGCGTACACACACGGATCCTATATTTATACAATGTATTCGCATTTTGCTTGTTATATGACTCAATATATATGTATTTAAAATTGTACAAATTATAATAAAAAACTACGCATCATTTGTGGGCTCATCCTCATTCTCGGCAGCAGCTTCATCCACATCATTGCTATTGGTGTCATTGCTGTCGCTTCTTGTTGCATGTCCATTAATATGTTCCGTCTGTGGCAACTGCTCTTCGCTTGAAGGCGTCAACTGGTCGAGTTGCTCACGAGCCGCTTTAATAACTTTCTCCAGCTCAACGCATTCAGTTTCAATTTCATAGTTCTTGGATACGAGGAGCACCCAGTGTGCTTCTAGAGCGCGCAGCTTCTCGCCCGCCTGTGTTTGGGCCTGTTTACGCTGCCAGTTAACGTCCTGCATGTCCTTTTTCAGCTGCTGCAGCTGAAGCTGAGCTTTAGCCTGCATCGCTGTAAACACTTCCAGATAGGATTTCCAGGCTTCAGTGCCGTAGTCCAGCATTAGCTCAAGATTTAACGAACGCACCCATTGATGCTCCAGCTGTGCCATTGAGTTCTCAATGGACTCTTGCCAGGCAGAGACTTCGGATAACTTGCCCGAAGGTGGCGGCGGTAGTTCGTAACGCTTCATGGAGAGAGTCTCCATGGGCAAACGATTTTGTATGCGTTCAAATTCATTGATCATCAGCGGCGTCTCGAATGGTGTACTCGCTGGCAGTGGAAGGTGGTCCAGGTAGTTCTTGGTGGGTCTGTAGCGCCGGCATTCCTCCTCAACCATAGCCATCGCCTGGTGTCAAAAAATGTATTAGTATCAAAACAACATTAAAGAAACACCACTTCATATACCGATTCTCTGACGCCCACATCGTCATAGCCATGATCTATATAAGGCAAAGCATCGACAATAACTTCATCAGCCATTTGTTTTAAAATTGATTTGCTTTTCGCAAAATTCACAATTTATGTTTATATTTATTTAGTGCTGTAAAACGTACGAAGCATTCGATAAACATACGTATTTTAAGCACTTTTCATTTTGACAGTCCACCATCCATGTTGTCTTAAATGCAACCGTGACGTCTGAAAAACGATTGGCAGCACTTTTAGCCCATTTCCGGCAGCTCTCTTTCTTTCTTCGTTCTTCTTATTAAATAGAGGACGGCATCTGCGTTTGCAGAAAAATTAAAACCATTTATTGGGATTAAAAATCAGCGAAAATGGTGAGAAAGTGTATTTAAGTGTTGCTAGGATCGCCGCCAACTGCAAAACGCGTCGTTTTACAGTCTTTAAACGC